ATATATATATATATATATATATATATATATATATATATATCTGAATCACTTTGCTGTATACCTGAAACATTATAAATCAATTATACTTCAATTTAAAAAAAATACAATGTGATACCACTTCATACTTACTAGATGGCTATAATAAAAAATAAAGATATTAACAAATGTTGATGAAGGTATAGAAGCTGGACCCCTCATACATTGGTGATGGCAATACATAGTGATGAAGCTGCTTTTGAAAACGGTCTGGTAATTCCCCCAAAAGCTTAAACATAATTACCACATGATCCAGAATTCCACTCCTAAGTATATACCCAAGATATATAAAAATATATGAAAAACTTGTAGATGAATGTTCACAGCAGTATTATTCATAATAACCAAAAGTTGAAACAACCCAAATTTGCATCAACAGACAAATACAATATTGTATATTCATACAACAGAATAAAATTCAGCAATAAAAAAGAATGAAGCTGAGACACATGCTATGATACAGATGAACCTTATAAATATCTTGCTATGTGAAAGAAGTCAATCAAAAAAGACCACGTATTGTATGAATCTATTTATATAAGATGTCCAGAATAGGCAAATCTATAGAGCCAGAAAATAGTGGCCGGGGAGAGTTGAGAAATGGGGAGTGACTGAAAGTGGTCATGATTTCTTTTAGGGTGATGAAAATGTTCTAAATTTGACTGTGGTGATGGGTGCATAAATTTCAAAATACTAAAAGCCACTGAATGGTACACTTTAAATGAGTGAATTGTATGGTATATGAGTTATATCTTCATAAAGCTGTTTTTAAAAAGAAGGAAAAAGAAAGCTGATTTCCATTCCTTTCAAGTTTCAGATGTGTCTTTATCAGCATCACCAGGACTAGGCAATTGCTCTATCCCAAACCTCCACCAACACAAAGGATGTGGGTAAATCACCATAAACCTCACCCCAGGGGATGCAGGGGACACATCCTTGGAAGGAGAGGATGGAAGGAGTCTGGCCACAAGAAGAGTGAGTGCAGACTTTCTCCAGCCAGCAGCAAGAACATGACCACACACCTTTAATTTAATGCCTTTATCATCCCAAAGGTGAAGCATGTTCAGCCTAAGAGTCTCTCTTGGAAAGAGGGCAGCTGTTTAAAGCTGGAAGAGATTGAGACAGAGTGAAAATGTTATATACTGATTCTTAAAGTGTCTAAACGTGAGAAATATATCAAAGAGGAGATAAAACATGAGTGAATATGGTGATATACTCACTACAATTCACCCAGACCAAGTAACTGAGGTTAGCATTAAAAAGTTGCCCAAAACAGGGGTAGAAATGTGAATTTTCTGAAGTATGACTTAAAACAAGTATTATTAAATCAAACATTAGAATATGCTCGCTGAGTGTATAGGAAGGGACTCATCAGGCAGAACATTAAAGATGAATAGAAGTGTTCAAGGGCAACAAAAAAGTATGGTAATATGGAAGAAGCAGTACCCACCTTAGTGCAACCTTCTATGTCATGTATGTATAAGAGAATTTTCCTCAAATAATTCACAGTAGATCTATTCCCCTCTGGTTTTGATATTCTACTAGCTTGTGAGTCTTAAGTGAAAATATTATTTGCATCACCTGTTTCATGGCTTAAGGAACATATGGTAATTTACAGCCATTAAATGTCAGAGCTACAAAGGCTTTTGGAAACCATTTGGTACCCTCATCCCAGTCCCATTTTAAAGATGAGGAAACTGAGGCCAAGAGAAGGGACCTGACTTGTGCAATGACAGAGTTTTATCCTGACATCTTGTCCAGGTCCTTTCTCAACAAGGAATAGTGAAGAACTTTCCTTCCTTCATGGGCAATGGACATATAATTAGAGTATGTCATTTTCAAAGAAAGCTACTATTTTAAGGTAAAGTGACTGTTATGGACAGAATGTGTGTGTCTCCCACCCCCCACAAAATTCATGTGTTGAAACCCCAATCCCCAATGTGATGGTATTTGGAAATGGAGCCTTTGGGAGGTGATTAGATCATGAGGGTGGAGCCCTCATGATGGAATTAGTGCCCTATAAGAAGATACATGAGGGAGTTTGCTTCCTCTCCCTGTTCTCCATCCAGTATGTGAGGACACAAAGAGAGGGTGGCCTTCTGCAAGGCAGGAAACTGACCCTCCCCAGACACCAGGTCTGCTAGCACCTTCAACTTCCCAGTCTCCAGAACTGTGAGAAATAAATGTCTGTTTTTATACCACACAGTCTATGGTAATTTGTTATAGCAACCTGAACTAAGCAGAAATTAAATTTGAATGATATAAGTAAACTTTCCATATAATAATAAAGTCATGGACCACTGTTTTATCTTTTCCAAAGTGAAAAAAATATGATGATTTTAGTTGTTTCCACTGGCATCAAACAAAATAGGCTATTTGAGATTAGAAAATTATCAGGGCATGTTCAATTCAGCCCCAAACAGGTTCTAACAAAATGGCCTGTGTCCTGACTCCTTTTTCCTTTGAGTCAACCCAGGGAGGCATAGAGCAATTGTAACACAGGTAATATCAAGACCAGCAGCAATAATCATTATAGGTGTGCACCTGCCACAGGTCACAAGTCCCTCTCTGTTTCCTACACAGGCAGCAGAAACAAAGGTGGAGGATGGTTTTACCTTTGGTGACGTTAATCAGCTCTTTCACCTGCAGGAGGACTGGGGTCAGGGTACCCGTCCGGTTCATGGAGGCGACGTAGCTCTCCAATTCGCCTTCAAACACATCCAGCTCATCTCTCACATACACGAACATGCAGAACTCAATGACAATGAACTGGGGGACACAGAGCAAATGTTTCAAGGTCTCACCTGAGTCCAGCTCAGTATATGAATAACATATGGGTCTCTCTTTCATTTTGAGTTCAAAACTCATCTGCAATAGACTCTGGACACTTGCTCTACTGAGATGAATGGGATTGTGACTTCTTTGGAGACAGGAGTCACCCCAAACTCTGTTCTTCACACAACAGCATATAAGAGTAGGCACCACAAGGGCTCAAAGAACTCTTCAAACATTAATTAAATCAGAGTGAAATAATTAAAACAGAGTGGACTTTGAATAAGGGGTGACCCTGGGGACAATTCCAAACACTTCTCACTGTTCCCCTTCTTGTATCTTGGCAATGACCAAATTGGAGGAGGTGCTATTTCCTGTATGCATGTCATGCTTGCTCCCCTCCTATCATCCTGTCATCCTGCCCTCATGCCCCCATCATCATGCCATTGCTTCTAGAGTCCCTGACGCCATTTTACTTCATCAACCAAACTGAATGTGGAGCTCAAATGCTACTATTTTCAGGCAGGTTCTCAATCCAGAGTAATTCACTATATTTCCAAAGCACTTTTACCTTTTCTTTTTCTCTAGTTAGACGGCAGTACTTCATACTGTATTTTATCTTCTTGTCTTAGACCATGGGCTACTCCCAGGCCAAGACTCTGCTGAATCAGCTCTCTTCTCTCTTCCAGGTCTTAGTATAGTGTTTGGCATAGAGTAGACAACCAATAATGATTTAATAAACACAATAACCCCTAGTGATTTACCCACTGCTGCAGAGAACTCTAGCTAGTTGTCCATTAAAATCTCTTCTCCCCTTTTTTGGGCACAGGTTGGACTACATTTGCCAGCCTCCCTTGAGTTAGATGTGGGTAAATAACAAGGTTCTTGTCAATGGAAGAAGAGTGGAAGGAATGTGTGCTGGGTCCACATAGCCTTTGAAAACCTCTCACAGGCATTTCGCCACCTGCTTTCTCCTTCTGCTGACTGGATGCAGGTGGTGAGGGTGCTCAGGGATGATGAAGGCACACGATGGAGAAACCAGTTATGGAACAAACACGTGGAAGACTGCTACCTCCCAAACCTCAACACTCACTCAACACTGTTAGGTGGGCAAAAATATATTCAGTGTTGTCACTGAAATTTGTGGGTTTATGTGGTACTTCATCATAACCTAATACATCCACTTAAAACTTAATCACAGGATTAGTTTATATAGGTATCATCCTAGTACATTTAAAATGAGCAGAAGACAATTTGGCCATTTTTATCCTGCCATTTGACCCTGCTTTTGACTCAGACATTTTATCTCAGATAACAATGACCACGTGAAATGCTTTGATTCTGTACTTTATTGACTTCCTGTTTTCAATTTCATAGGTTTCTGCTCTAATTTTTATTACATCTATTCTTCTGCTTACTTTGCATTTTAATTTGCTCTTTTTTGTTTGTTCGTTTCCTAAGGTAAAAGTTTAGACGATTGATTTAAGATCTTTCTTCAGGTCTAATATGTACATTCAATGCTATAAATTTCCCTCTAAGCACTGCTTTTGCTGCCTCCCACAAATTTTGATAAGTTGTGTTTTCATTTTCATCTGTTCAAAATATTTTTAATTTCCCTTGATGTTTTTCTTTGGCTCATATGTTACTTTAAAGTGTGTTGTTTTCATACCTACTACTTGCAGATTCTCCGTTATCTTTCTGTTACTGATTTTTAGTTTAATTCCACTTTGATCTGAGAGCAGACATTGTATGATTTCTATTCTTTTATATTTATTAAGATGTGTTTTATGGTCCAGGATATAGTCTATCTTGTTGAATTTTCCATTTACTCTTGAGAAGAATGTGTATTCTGCTGTTGTTGATGAAGTATTCTTTGGATTTCCAAAATATCCAATTGATTGATGGCATCAATTACAGTTCAGATTTTCCTACCTTGGCACTGGTTGCCATGGGGTTTCTGCTCCATTCTGTGATGATCGTGTCTCTTCAGTTTTAGGGGTAAAGGTTTGCTCCATGACCTCACTGCTCTTAGGGATCTAAGAAGAGTTGTTGATTCTTCAATTTGTTCAGATTTGTATTTGTTGTTAAGGTGGATTGGCATCTTGCAAGCTCTTTACATGTGGAATTGGTAACTGGAAGTCTCCGTAAATAACTCGATTATATTTATTAGTAATATTCACCACATGAGTATAAGTGTCCTTGGAGTCAAAATGGTGGGGTCAAAAAATTGTACTTTTTTGATTTACAGATACTCAATTTTGACCCAGCTTTTAAAGAACAACCCCTATCCTAGACCCATCCCATTTATAAAATAATAAAGGATTTGCTTAGATCTACTTACAAGGTACAGGCAGATGAAAGCCAACACAGTGGTTCCAATCATCCTGCTTGGGAACTGAAAGTAAGGGTCCCACTCATAGATCCTGGTTTGGAACCAAGACTTTTCTCTCTCTCTGTGAATGAATAAACATCAAGAGAAGACAGGTTGTGGCTGGTAAACAAATGCCTGATTCTTCTGAAAATAATATCATCTCCTCTTCTTCACCTTAGCGTATAGTGAAGACAAAGAGCACTGGTAGATTCCACAGTTTTCATTCTCCCCTCATTCTTAAGAACAAAGACTCAGTTTTATTCAGTACAGCAATCTACCAAATTAAAGGCTATAGTTCCCGACCTCTCTTACAGCTAAGAGTGACCAAGACTAAACAAGCCAATTAGACGTGACCAGAGATGTGGTGTGGGACTTTGGGGAGGCTGGTCAGGTGGAACTGACACAGCTGGGAGGATTCCCTTTGACTTCACTCTTTTCTCCTGCCTGTCATCTGAAGGGCAGACATGGTGGCTGGCCCAGGCTGGAGCCCCAGCATCTATCTTGGGCCACAGACAGGCTTCATGATGGAAACCACTATGTTACTAGAACAGAAAGACAGACAATGGGTAAACTGCGTGGTGGGCAGTCCAGGGTTAGTATGGACTGCCTGCCTCCAGAATTCTTTTACATGAGAAAGAAAGAAATCTCTCTTTTATTTGTGCCATGATTATTTTGCATTTTCTGCTATATGTAGCCAAATGTAACTCTAACCAAAGAACTAGTTTTGCCACTATGACCTTGGATTAGACATATCCCTTCTCTGGGAATATACCCTTGTGCACAGTGGCAGTGGCAGGGGTAGGGTGACTTGAATGGTCACTGAAGACCAGGTGTTCTTGCCTGGCCAAGAGCTATGTCCTCTTTTATTGGTAACAACATCTCAGTTTTTCTCTGGGAATCTACTCTTCCCCACCATCAGTCCTGGTGGTTTAAGTGAAGCTGAACCACTTCCTAGTTCCCATGGTGAACATGTGACCCTGGTTTAACAATCAGTTTACTCCAATCACCTACTCACAGTAATTGGTTCTGGGATGCCATGTGGTCCAACTTGATCCAATGAAACACATTCATGGGAATTTTGTTTGAATTATTTGAAAGAAAACATTCTTTTCTCTATGAGCTTAAGACAGGAGGGTATAAGCTTAGAGATTCTGGGGGCCACCACGGGGAGGAAGCCTACCTAACTAAGAGTTTAACATAGGTAAAAGCAGAGCTGAGAGATGAGGGAAAGAGACCTAGTTCTGATTATATCAGTCAAACCCCTGGATCCATCTGTGTCTGAAAACTGGCGACCTCTAGGCTCTTTAATTATGTAAGGCCATAACTTTCCTGTTTCTCTTTAATCCCATTTGAGTCGAGTTTCTGTTATTAGCAAACAAGCGTCCTAAAACAGCGCTCTTCCAGTCATCTCCAGGTCTCTGACACGGTCAGGGCTCATCAATATTGGTGCAAACGCCGAGGGGCGTGAACAAATATAACTGTGCTTACTGCAGGGGGCACTTCCTCAGGAGCTGTTTGACATGCTCTGCCTGGTGAACTTCCAGGAAAGGCTTTTCTTCCTGTGAGAAAAGAGAGAGGTTGATGTTTTGGCTCACAAAGTCTTGTTAGGGCTTTGGTCTCTTTGAGGGGCTATTTCCCTAGAGGCCAGGATTTTCGGTAAAACTTGCCATTCCCAGACACCCGTCATTTATTGAAGAGACTATACGGTCCCGTCTCCTGTTTCCCAAGCACTTCTTTCATGAAATGCCAGAGGCCTGACCTTCCTTGACTCTTCTGCTTACTGCTTTACACCAGCCTTTGTTTTGTGAAGTCGATTTTTCCCTTTGAGATCTGGTGATTTCTCATCATAGTTCAAAACACTGTTCCAGAAATGAAACACCCAAAATCCCAGTGTTTTTATTTTTTATGAAAAGGAATTTCTCTTGCTCATTTCTTATTTTGAAATGAACTTTAATAGTATGTTTGGAAATGTTTTCTCCAAGTGTAATGAGCTTTCCACAGTAGTCATCTGTTTTACAATATATTGAATATGTAACTTTTACACACTGTGAGACGAAATCTTATATATTGCAGATGTTGCGCAGAGTAAAATAGACCTGGTTATAATTCTGACTCGTAAGTGACATCAGCGAGCTGGAGGAACAGGAGGTTCCAGTTCCCATATGCCCTCAGATACTCCAACTTTGACAACCACCCACAGGTGAGAGTACCTTTGTGGGGGCCCAAGTATCTACCTTGGAGGTTACAGCACGCTAGTTAAGCAAAACCTCCAAGAACAGATGCATGAAAGAGAACAAGGAGAACAGTTTCATTTTACCAACATCACTCCTCCTCCAAAGTAGTATAGCTCAGGGCATAGAGAGAAGGCCCTCTTAGCTTGTAATTTCTCCTATGAGGGAAAATAAAAGTCAAGTGAGAGCCCACCTTCCCCAGTCTTGGGGGACACTGCCCAACAGATCCATTCCTGTCTCACACCACCCAGAACACTGAGGGGATCAGCATGGCGGAATAGTCTGGGGAAAGCTAAGAGCAGGGAAATGGGGCAGGGGGTCAATGGGGTGGGGGAGTCCTTCTAGAGTCCTCGAAGGAACAGAGAAAGAGAAAAGGGCAGAAAGCTATATAAAGAAATAATGGGGGGACTTCCCTGGTAGTCCAGTGGTGAAGAATCCACCTTCCAATGCAGGGAATGTGGGTTCGATCCCTGGTCGGGGAACTAAGATCCCACATGTTGCGGCGCAACTAAGCCCACATGCCACAACTATTGAGCTTGCACGCCTCAATGAGAGAGCCCACATGCCACAAGCTACAGAGCCCACATGCTCTGGAGCCCACGCGCCACAACTACTGAGCCCATGTGTCCTGGAGCCTGCACACCACAACTAGAGAGAGAAAACATGCATGTCACAACTAGAGAGACGCCTGCATGCCGCAACTAGAGAGAAACCCAAGCAGACCACACACCATAATGAAAAGATCCTGCATGCCTCAACAGAGATCCCGTGTGCTGCAGACCTGACGCAGCCAAAAAAAATAAATAAGGAAAACAAATAAATAAAATAAATAAGTATTTTTTTAAAAAAGAAATAATGGGGACTTCCCTGGTGGTCCAGTGGCTAAGGCTCTGCACTCCCAATGCAAGGGGCCTGGGTTCCATCCCTGGTCAGGGAACTAGAACCCACATGCTGCAACTAACAGTTCACATGCCACAACTAAAGATTCTGCATGAGACAAAGTGGACTTTAAGTCAAAAACTATCACAAGAGACAAAGAAGGTCATTATATAATGATAAAGAGGTCAGTTCATCAAAATGATATAAAAATTGTAAACACATATACATACCTAATATCAGAGCACCTAAATATATAAAATAAATATTAACAGAACTGAAGGAAGAAATAAACAGCAACATGATAATAGTAGAGGACTTCAACACCACACTTTCAACAATGGATAGATAATCCGGTCAGAAAATCAATAAGGAAACAGCTGACTAGAACAACACTATAGACCAAATGGACCAAATGGACATTTATAGAACATTCCATATAACAGCAGCAGAATACATATTCTTCTCAAGAACATTTTCCAGGATAGAGCATATGTTTGGCCACAAAACAAGTCTTAAACGTAAGAAGATTGAAATCATATCAGACATAATTTCTGACCACAAAAAGCTAGATGTTGATAACAGGAGGAAAATTGGAAAATTCACAAACGATACACTCCTGAACAACCAATGGGTCAAAGAAAAAATCAAAAGGGAAATCAGAAATATCTTGAAGCAAATGAAAATAGAAATACAACATACAGAAATTTATGGGATACAGGAAAAGCAGTTCAGTTCTAAGAGGGCAGTGTATAGCAGTAAATGCCTATATTAAGAAAAAAAGAAAGATCTCATGCAAACAACCTAACTCTTTACTTTGAGGAACTAGAAAAAGAAGCACAATAGGTAAGAGAGAGCCTCAAGAACCAAATTCTCTGGGTTCCAGGTCTGGCTCTGCTATAGACTTGCTATGTGAGCTTGGGCAATGCAACTGACAGCTCTGGGTCCAAGTTTCCTAATACAGAGTGGGAGAAGTAATAATAGTACCTACCTCACAAGGCTGTTGGGAAAACTTAACCTGTCAGGACACACACGGTGTTTTTACTTAGTACTCACCGTCTGGAGCTCCCAGCCCAGGTGGACCCTCAGAGACTTGACAAACATGTACAGGAAGCGGCCCAGAAGGAAGGCCAGGCAGAGCAGCGAGGGCCAGTAGAACACAACAGTCTCATACTTCCCCACAAACTGCAACAGAAGCAGACCATGGGGCGTGGGCTCTAGGTAGGGAAGGGCTAGGCCACTGGTGAGGCTGTGCACAGGAACCTGCCTGCCCCAGCCTGCTCCCACCAGGGCCCACCCTCTCAGAGCTTGGAGGTCAGCAGCCAATCCCCGCTCCCCCAGCCCCATATCATCAGAACAAGCAGTGGACTTGGAGTCCAGCAGCCCTGGACTTGAGTCTTAGCACCCCTATTTAATTTTATACAAAGGGCTTTCATGGCTTTTTTCTCATTAGGTATTAAATATTACTTTTGGAAAATACTCACAAGAGAGAGGAGGGTGAAAGAGAGAGAGAAGAGGGGAGAGAGAGAAGAGGAAGGGGGAGGGGTGGGTGAGAGGGAGAAGGAGAAGAAGAAAAGGAAGGAAGGAAGGAAGGAAGGAAGGAGGGAGGGAGGGAGGGAGGGAGGGAGCGGGGGAAGGAGGAAGGAGGGAGGGAGAGCCCATAAGTGTCATCATTTTGGGAGCAACACAAGCTCCCAAGAGTAACAGGTCTCTCAAGATGGTGCTCATAGTTTTTCTATTTTTAGCTTCATTTTGATAAACAATTTTTTTCACTGTTTTAAGACAAATCATATTGTTATGTATCTTTCACAATTTACTGGTTAGTTTCATTTTTTTTTATGTTTCCAAAGTATTTCTCCCTAAGGAGAAATCAGAGTAGTGATGTTAGATGTAGTGATGTTAGACTGGGGGACGGACGCATTCTGAGACGTGCGGGCCCGTGTCTTCATCCTCGTCTCCAGCATATGCTTATATGTAAGACATAACCACCATCAGTATTTCAGTGTCTTTCATCTTTATCTATACCCATATAGCTATATATATTATAAGTAGAGATAGTACCAAATATGTAGGTCTGTATATAGCATAATCACTTCTCCACACGGTTACAAATTATTTGTGAACATTATTTTTAATGCTGCATAATAGTGCATTATTTATATGAACCAAACTTTATCTAAACTTTCCCCTAATATTTGACATTTGAGACCCTTTCTAATGTCTCATTTTTATAAATAAAGTTTTCATAAATACATTTGAAAACATGAGGACAAATTTTCATTAATTCCTTAGTCTGGATTTCAGCCCCATGATCTTTAATTAGTAAGTCATGTTAGCCCCTGAACCTTGCTTTCCTACCAGTGAACTGGGAATGGCACTAACACACTGTCTGCAAAGTGTCCTGAGGATTCTCCGGTTAGTGATTGGAACTGAGCCTAGAACAACGCCTGGCACGTAGCAGTTCTTGGTGTTAGTGATTCTGAGCATAGAAGTGAGACCCTGCCGATTAACCATGAATATTTCAAATTTCCAAAGAACCTCTGGAAGACTGAAAGCTCTCCAAGACTCCAAAGAAAATACCTGTGATCCTGAACCTCAGGTACGGTGAGCAGTGGGAAGGAGGGCTTCTTTTGCGGCAGAGTTGTGCCGGAATGCCCTCAATCCCAGTGCAGAGATGCAGAGGGAAGGCCCAGACTACCAGCCTCATTTTCTAGCCCAGCTCCCCCCAGACTCTCTTTATCATACCCTTTAATCCTCCATAGTTACTGATGCCCAGGAAAGGCTTTGGCAAGGCTCCTGTGGGCTCCTGGCCCAGGTGGCTTCTTCGTACTCCCCTCACACACCTGGTAACCCTTCTAGATGCAGTGTGACACCCCTCTTTCATCTTGCTCCTTTTCCTGGGGTACAGGGCTAAACAGATGAACCAGCTTCCTCTAATTCTGAGAAAGAGGATGCATGGCAAAGTGATAAGGGATTCATCTAGTTCGAGTCTCCCATTTTATAGACAGAGAAACTGAGGCTACATGAAGGAATGGAAAGAAATGAGCTTGAGAGTCAGCCAGACCTCGTCTCAACTCCCAAATCTGCTGCTTCTCAAGAGTTACATAATATACTTGTGCCTCAGTTTCCTCATCTGTAAACAGGTTTGCTAAGAGCTTCCCTCCCTTGAGGGGCCGCTATGAGCATCAACTGAGAGAACATCTCCTGTGAATGCCATCTGATGAACACAAGATGCTCTACAAATGGAAGCATCATGAATGGCTCCAACTCCCCTTTTGTCCACACGAGGAAGCTGAGGCCCAGAGTGGCAAAGGCTTGTCCCAGGTCACACAGTGAGTTGGCCATGGTGATAGGACTGAATACCCTAAACACAGCTCAGCAGGGACTCACCTGCCCATGGGGACACTGTGTGATGTGAAGGGTGGTGACAGCAAACCTGCAAGACAGAAACCAGGGTTGGGGTCCTGGGGTCCTTCCCAGCACAGCCCCTGTGAAAACAGCTCAGATACCACCTGCCTGGAGTTACCTCCCCTCTGAATCCTTCTTGGGAGGACTGGTCCCCAGTACATCCCACCCAGATCAGGCATACAGCTTGTGCCTAGGTACATGCACACTGAATTCATTTAACACATCCTCACTGAGGACATAATCCTGGGATCCACGACGGCAGAGCAGGAAGACACTGAGAGGTCTCCTACTTTCTCCCCTCATCACTCAGGTGGGGAGACTGAAGCCCAGAGAGGGGAAGGGATTTCTCCAGAGTCACACCCAGAGCCAGGACCAAGACCCAGGTGTCCTGACTCCGGGACCGAGGCTCTTTCTGACGGGACATGCCCTGTCTGTAAACACTGCCCTGAGGAATAAGCCTCAACGTTTTCTCCCGGCTGGACACACATTCCTATTCCTGGTCATACTCCCAAGGTGCCCAAGGTGCCCAAGCTGCTAAGTGGTTCTGACCACCCTCTCCTCTCCAGCTCAGAAAGTCTGGCAGAGGCTGTTAAGATGATATTATTCCACGTCTAACCCTGAATACCCTCTCTTCTAATTTTTAAAAAGCAAGTCACAAACTCTGTAATTGTAGCCATTGGGGTATCATTTGCTTGTGAGCCCCCTGCACTGGTTCACACACACTGGGCCTGGGACCCCTGCCCCACAGAAAATGCTGTAGTGGGGAAGCCGGCCCAGTAAGGGGGATGCAGGCAATGAGATGAGTTTCAGGGCTGGAGAGTAGAAGTGTTCATGGGATTTTTCAGCCAGAAAATATTCCCCAGGGCCAGCTCTGTGCCAGTCCGGTGTCAGCGCTGAGGGCACAGCGCTCAAGCGGAGGGTCAGAAAGGTCCCACATCTGAGGGCTCTGATCCACGAAGGATGAGCATGTATCTATCACTGGGCCAAGTCGGGGAAGACGATCCACACAGGGAATAGCAATATGTAGACAAAGAGGCCAGAACACATGTTCCAGGAGGGTCTTTCCTGTCCTCCAGTGTTTTCCCTGGCTCACAGCGGGATGTCTGCTGAACGAATAAGTGGACGGAGAAAGGAGTATAGGAGTCTTGCATGACCGGAGGTGTGTGCTAGAGACTGTCAGGCATGGAGAGATGGGGAGAGGCCAGACTGCGACAGCACTGAACGCCCAGCTGAGGCACCTGCACTTTCTCCTGGGCTCCTAGGGAAGCGTGACAGCGAGGAGCGGCAGAACCCAATGGGACTCCTGCTTCTAACCACGGGACTGACGGCACTTGACAGAAATGGAGTTTTCTACAGCCCTCACTTCTGGGAATATTCTGATCATGAGCGGCCTCCTGTGGAGCAGACAGAACGCAGGCCTGACCTTCTGAAGCCTCAAGTGCAGTTTCCAAGGAGGGGCTGCGGTGGGCCTTGGACCAGTCACTCCGCCCACCCGCCCTGGGCGTCGGTTCTGGGCAAGGTGCCCTCCAAAGAGAGCTCTCAGGTCACCTCCAGCTCCTTGTCCAGAGTCCAGCCGTGGCCAAAGGAACTGCAGGAGGCCAGGCAGGCAGAGTCCATCTTACCAGATCAGAGAGTAGCTGAACCCCAGGATGGAGCTGACCAGCCGGAACTCCGACGAGAGGCAAGCAAAGAAGGGGAAGTGGGACAGGCCGACTTCGATGCCTCCGATCAGAAGCACAAAGGCTGGGAGAGACAGGGCCAGAGATGACATGAGTTCCTCTTCTCACGGGCTCAGGGGAGACCCAGGGCAGTTATGGGGTTTCGTGTGACTTGCAGTCACAGACCTCAGGACTTAAGGAGATGAGTGGACAAGCCCCAGGTTAGTACAAGGAGGAATGCAGAGATGTCTTTCATGCAATCATGCAAAAGGCCCTTCCTGGTACCTCTTCCATGCCAGGCACTGGGCTAACTATTGAGATGAAGAAGACTTTGTCCCTGCCCTTGATTAGCTCACAGTATGATGGGCAGAAACATACCACAAAAATGAACAAACAAAAATCACTGAGAGTAAAGCACCATAAAGTGTACCATAGCAACACAGACAGCAGTGATGTACTGTGTTCTAAAACCTCTTGTGCACTTCATCTATAAGGCAATAATAATATTAATGCTGCCACTGACTAGCTCTGAGATGGTCTAACAGGATCCAGTAGAATGTAATTGGGCAAGATGACCTTTCCTAAGTGTCTACTTTGAGCTGGGTCGTGGGTCAGGCACCAAGGACATAGGGGGAATGAACAAAGTTCTTGCTTTGAGGTGCTTACGGTCCAATAGGGAAGACAGGAAGAAAAGTAAACGATGTGATATGTACTCTAATAGAGGCATATTCAACCTGCTGTGTGGACAAGAAGAGGAAGTCATGGACCTCACCTGGGGTCTGGGTATCAGAGAAGGCATCCTGGAGGTGGTGACATTTAGCAAGGCCATGAAATATAAGTGGGAGTTTGTAGGACGGAGAGAAGGAGGGAAGAAAGGACATTTCTCACTCAAAGGAGGGGAGATGGTTGGTTGAGGTGGTCAGTATTTGTGTAAATGTGAATAGTGGGGGACTGGCAGCTAAGGACCATATAAAAGGAATAATTGCTGTGAGGTTAGAAGCTGCAACAGCATAATTTTTTAATTTATCTGAATTCCCCCAACCATGAAAGCAGACAGAGCAGTGAAGATAGCAAAACCAAAAACAAACATCTACAATAAATCTAAGTGACAGGACTCATTTGATATCAACATCTGATTAAGGGGAAGCACAGGAAAGACAATAGGATCTTTGAAATCCCAAGAACAGAAGAACCCAAAATTGCCAGCAGATATTCACAGGAAATTGAAGCTGAAATAACAGCTGAAACTGGGCACAGGGCTGAAGGCCTTGATTCATAGGTGAGAATCAGCAGACCTTAGTAAGGTGTTAGTAGGTCTGAGGATGCTGGAGCCATCAGGGCCCATGAGCTCATTATACTAAATATCCAAGTCCCCTCCCAGCACAAGCCCCACATGAAAGAGAAACTGCTGGCAGCGAGAATCCAAAATGAGAAGGTAAGAACATTAGGAACTAAGTAGTAGTGGGTCCGGACAAAAGTGGAAGAAGCCAACTCAGAAAATATGAGGTTGTAATGAGGGTACATATGTATAATCATTCTGTAAAAACAGAAGAGGAGGGGCTACCCTGGTGGCGCAGTGGTTGGGAGTCCGCCTGCCGATGCAGGGGACACGGGTTCGTGACCCGGTCCGGGAGGATCCCACGTGCTGCGGAGCGGCTGGGCCCGTGAGCCATGGCCGCTGAGCCTGCACGTCCGGAGCCTGTGCTCCGCGACGGGAGAGGCCACAACAGTGAGAGGCCCGCGTACCGCAAAAAAAAAAAAAAAAAAAAAAAAAAACAGAAGAGGAACCCTTGAGCCATGAAGCAAGAAACAATATTCTGGTCCAGCCAGATGCTCAACATCAATTAGGCTTCACGGAAACGCAAATCAAGACAACAATCAGATACTACTTCACACCTACTAAGATGGCTATAATTTTTTTTAAAAAAATGAAAATAACAAGTGTTGGCTAGGATGTGGAGAAATTGGAACGTTCACATATTGCAGGTCAATGGAACACAATGGACAGTCCAGAAATAGACCCATACATACACATGTGTAGACAACTGATTTTCAACAAAGGTGCAAAGGCAATGTAGTGGGCAAAGGACAGGTTTTTGTAATGACAACAGTGCTGGAACAAATGGATAGCCAAAGGCAAAAAAAAAGAAGGGGAATTCAATCCACACCTCACACTATATATTCAAAAAAATTAACTCAGAATGTACCATAGACCTAAATGCGAAACACTGTGAGACTATAAAACTTCTAGAAAACACAAAGAAGAAAATCTAAGTGACCTTAGCTTAGGCAGATATTTCTTATATGACATCATATGCATGATCCATAAAAGAAAACATGAAAAAATTAGATTTCATCAAAATTTAAAATGCCAGCGCTTCAAAAGAAACTGTTGGTAGAATAAAAATACAAGCAACAGACTGGGGAAAAGTATTTGCAATTTATACATCTGATAAAGGACTTATATACAGAGTATATAAAGAACTCTCAAAACTCAATAAGAAGAAAACGAAAAATCCCCAATATTTTAAAATAGGCAAATAATTTGAACAAACGCTTTACCAAAGAAGGTACAGTGATAGCAGATAAGCACATGAAAATATGCTCAACAACAACAGTCATTACAAAACTGCCAACTGAAACCACAGTGAGATACCACAACATGCCTCTTAGAATGGCTAAAATTAAAAAGACTGACCATGCGTTGTCAAGGACATAGAGAAACTTAACTCTCATACACTTAAGATGGTAATCTACAATCAAACAGAACCATCATTTTGGAAAACAGTCTGACAGTTTCTTTAAAAGTATAATCTACTACATGATCTTAATAATCCAGACATTCCATTCAAAGGTGTTTACCCAAGAAAAATGGAAACATACAAAGACTTATAATGCTTACAGCAGCTTTATTTGTAACAGCCAAAAACTGAAAATAAATCAAATGTCTATCAATAGGTGAATGGATAAACAAACTGTGGTCTCTCCATACGGTAGAACACTATTCAGAAATGAAAAAGGAATGATTTCTGATACATTCTAAACATGTATGAATCTTAAAACAACTATGCTGTGTGAAAGAAAACAGACCCCCTCCCCCGCAAAAAAAAAACCCCGATTGCATTCTGTATGATTCCATTTGCATAACTGCCTGGGGATGGGGGTGGTGACTCGATGGGGTGGGAAGGAGAGAGTACAAAGGGGAAAAAGTTAACTTCTGGGGTTCATTATCATGATTGTGGTGATGATTTCATAGATGTAAACATTTGCCAAAGCTTAACTTGTACACTTCTAAGAGATGTATCATTTTGGTTTTAATTTGCATTAAAAACTCCTACAAACTAAGGAGATGTTGTAGGCATTTGCTCATATAGGCTTGGAACCCAGGAGAGAGAACCAAGCTGGACAGGAGATGTTTGGGAGTCACTGGATTAGGGATGGTTGAACCTGCAGGGAGAGCACAGGGCACGGGGAACAAAGAGGCCTCAGATCAATGGCCAGAGAAGTAAACACTGTTCCCTGAGGAAGCATCTGAGGGCTTACTGATATCAAGAAGGCAGTCACGGCTATGACTCAGGAGAGATTTCTAGGGTTGGTGACAGTGAACCTATTTTCTGAGACTTTGTTCTACTACGTCTAAAAAACCTTTGAATCTAACTGGGAGAAAACCTCCATAAAAAAGCTCGAGACTTTGTGGGCTTGGCATTGACCTTGGGCAAGTAACAAGCTAAGAAGTAATTGACAGTTCAACAAAGTTTATCCCCTGATCCCAGAGAACCCCTGCCATGCAGTCTCCAAGAGCAAGAATTTCCACAGCAAAACTCCCAGCAGGTATGAGGCAGCACACGTACCTTGGGCCCATTGTGGGACTTGCAGGGGCTTGTAGCCTTCTGAGAATAAGAACATGACCTTATTGGCTGTAGCCCCAAAGGCTACTCCATAGGACCATCGGTTACGAAAAGTGCCCACGAAGTCCAGAGGTCTGTGAATAAGAGAAAGAGCTCATGAGGCCAGAAGTGGCTCCTTCCCACAGTTCATTTCCAAAGTATCAATCCCACTCTGGGGAGGGACTATTGAGTAGTAAACTATTTATTTCAACTGACATATCCTGAGGCCCTCTGTGCCAATTGGGGGGTTAGGCATAGATTCAGGGTACCAAAGTGAGGAAGACAAAATCCTTGCCCTGGAGAAGCTCCAAGTCTGGGGAACATAAGCAAGGACACCAGCAGTCATGACAACAAGCAAAATGGGATGAATTTCATCTATGAGAGACACAAGCAGTATGACTTAAGAAACCAAAACAAAGAGTATGTGCCAGACAGGTTGGGGGAACTGCCCTGCACCTGGCCATGGTCTACGAGAGTCCTCCTTTCCAATATCCCTGGGAAGGTTTGGGTATCACTGGCTATGCTAGCTGCATGTGATCACACCTCCTGGCCACAGCTGATTGGACTATGGGTGGTCAGATGGTCACCTGACTTTGGATGGGCCAATCACCGTGCCTGGCCTTGTACTTTGGATTTGTGATTCTGAGGACAGGAGCCAGTCAGCTGTTAAAATTCTGTTCTGGAAAGTCATGCCAAACTGAGTCTTGCCGATGTCTGGGGGAAGCAGAGATCGTTAAGTCCGATGGTAAAGTCAGATGGCAGAGAGGAAAACGGTAAAATGGTGCTGAAGGGACCCCAGTGACACAAAGAGGCAAAAGTAGAATCCGTCTCCCAGAGACGCCCATGTCAAGAGCTCTAGTTCCCATGAGGCCAACCTTGCCAGTTTCTGTGAGATCTCTGTAACTTTATAAAAAGTCCTTTCTTTTCCTTTTATGCAAACAAGCTTGAGTGGGTATCTGTTTCCTCTAAGCAAAAGAGCTTTGTCTACATAAGGGAAAGCAATTGCATTTGAGACAAAGAGAAAAGGCTTTCCCCACTGGAGCGCCATTTGAAGCCGGCTTAATGAAAACTCAAGGTGGCAGGAAGGGAAGGGTACTGCAGGTACCTGCAGGTGGGGACTTGGGAGTCAGGATCTGGACCCCACCTTCCTGTTCCATTTGGCTGGCTCGTCTTCATCTTCAAGGCACAACTCAGGGAGCACCTCTCTCAGAAACCTCCCTGACAACCCACTCCCAATCAGGCACACCTACTTGCTGCCTTGCTTGGGTCCCCTCAGCGCTAAGTTCATGTCCATGCTTTTCTTATCACTTGTTTAGTGAATTATAAACTCCTCTGGAGTGGGACCTAGCACAGGGCTTTGAAAAGAGTAGCTGCTCACTGCACGTTCGTGGACACGCACTTGGTTGAACTGATTTGAATTCTAATCAATCCCACCTGTAGTACGTAAGCGCTATGTGGGACTCAGTCTCCCTATCTTTAAAACAGAGATGATACCCCTGCTCTGCTCATATCACAGAGACACTGTGGATGGCAAATGAAGACCTGCTTTATAAACTGTGGAGTGTCATGCACATGCGAAGGATTATTAATGGGTGAAGACGGTGAGCTAAAACTACTCAGGAAAGCAGGGCTTTTCATAAGAAAGTGGCCAGAGAGCAAGAAAACTGTGCCTTTATTAATTGAATTCAAAGCAGTTTAACATGATCCATATAGCGGTCTTACTTAAAAAGTCCTACACCAGGCCCTACATGCCAAATGCCCAGGGCAAAGTCTGAAGATCTTTATCCACCAGCCTCAGTCTCTCTCTGTGCCTCAGCCCATGCGGCTTAGACCTGGCAGTTTGGGAGGGGCTGACTGCTCTAATGGGTGGTAACCAGAATGTTTGCTACTCTGGGCTGGTATACGGTATATGGACATTGTTGTTGGATTTCTCTCACCGCAAAGGTCAGATCACCCTTAGACTCCATCCTGACATCCTGGCTTCCTCTCCCTTCTCCAGAGCCCAAGGCTGAGACCTGAGTGTGTTCACATCCTTGAATCTTCTCAGGTTATGACACTGGGAGAATCAGAGCCAAAAGCGACCAGAGCTGGGTTAAAGCTCTTGTCACTCGGTAGCTCTGTGGCCTTGGGCAAGTGACTCAACTTCTCTGAGCCTGAGCTAGCTCATCCATTACATGAGGATAACAACCTCCACCATGCTGGGGTCCATCCTAGTAGCGTAGGCAAAGCAGATGGTTCAGTACCTGGGCCAGAGTCAGTATGCAACAAATGCTAATTGCATCATCATCATTAGTAGTAATTAGAGGGTGATGAGGCAGAGAGATGAACAATTAGAACTCAAGGAAAAATGTGAGGAGGGGAGCAGAGATTCAGAATGGCAGAGTGGGAAAGGCCCTGAAAGCTCCCTGGTCCAGCGGGCTCTCCTGGGGCATGTCTCATGCCTCCATCCCAACAAGGAGGCTTGCTGCCACCAGTGACAGGGAACTCTCTCCCCCCTGCTTCTCGGGGTAGCCATGGTGCTGAGTGTGGGAAGGCCTTTCCCATAGTGAGCTGAGCCTCTTCGAGTTGTTTTAAGCACTTCTGGACAGCCCTGGGTGCTGAGGGCGCAGTAGCTTGGAAGCCAATTCTGAACTCTCTGGGCCTTGGGTGGATTGGGGCAGGGAGGGGCAGAGCTGTCCACGGCGGGGTAGAGGTGGGTAGGGAGGTAACTGGTGGTTAGCCTAGTCTTACAAATGGTGTTGGTCCCAAACACAGAGTACCCCAAGCTGTAGTGATGGACCTTGGCTCAACTCACATGATCATTCTGAAGCGGTTTCCCAGGAGGTAAGAAGCGTCATCTCTCTGTCTATGGTGCTCTCGTCTTTGGAGAAGGGACAAGACCAAAATGATGAAAAGCTATAGAAAGAGAAGAAGGGTCTGTCAGAGGGAACATTCATCCTCAGCCCCTCGGTGTCCTCACTGGAGGAGAGTGTGTGGGTGAGCAAAGCACTCAGAACGTCTAGGACTCAAACTCCACACTTGGAGAGCTGGCTGCACGCACCGTTGAGCTTCCAGAATGTTTTGTACTGAGCTTTCCTTTGTGTTGCTCTGAACAGACATGGATTCAAATACAGTCTGTCCCACACACTGGCTGGGAGGGAGACTTAACTTCTCTGAACCTCAGTGGCCTCATCCGTAAAAAATGGGTAATAACTTTCAGGTTGCAAATCCTTCTTTGCTTTTTATTCCTGTGGATTCAGTCATATTCTCCTATACTTGATGCCCCTTTTCTTCTTTTACTAGAAAATTCCTGAGAATTATCTACACTTGCTGTCTCCATTTCCTCACCTCTCACTTGCTCTTCGATCCCCTAACATGGCTTCTACTCCCATACTCCACGGAAGCAGTTCTGGCCAAAGTCACTAATTACCACCTTGTTGCTCAATCCAAATGTAAACATTAAGCCCAAATCTGCTTGACCTCACAGCAGCATTCAGTGTTGACCTCTTCCTCCTCTTAGAAATACTCTCTTCCCTATGCTTCTATCAGCCACACTTTTCTGGTTTTCTTCTAATTCTCAGTCTCCTTTGCTGGATCATTCTTTACCCAACCACCAGATGCGAAGCTCCTCATGGTTCAGTCCAAGGACCACTCATCTTACTCCCCCATCCTCTCTTCCTCGGTGACCCCATCCATGTCCACACTTTCAATGGCCACCAAATACACAGAAGACTCACAAATTTGAATCTCCAGCCCAGCTGTGGTCCAGAATCATAGGTTCAACTACATAGTTGGCATTTCTTTTTGATGTGTTGAACGCTTCTCAAATTCAGTGTGTCTTAAATGGAACTCTTGATTTTCCTCCCTGCCCTGTTCCTTCATCCACAACAAACTTGGATGCCCTCTAATTTTCCTTAACAAGTGAATGACAGATACCACCATCCTTCCAGCTGTGCAAATTACAAACCCAAGAGTCATCCTCAACCTCTCCCTCTCCCTCATCTCTCTATCCAACCCATTACCCGGTTCTACTGCTTTTACCCCTTGAACATCTGGAGGTGACCACCATCATCTAGGATGATGTAAAATCACCTCACCTGGACCCCTGCAACCATCTCCTAACTGGCCTTCCTGCCTCCTCTCTTACCTGCCTCCAACCTGATCCCCACTTGCAAACAGACAGATCATTTCTGATAAATCTGATCACACCATCCGTGGGCCAGAAACACTCCACTACTTCCCACTGTATTTAGAACAAAGACAAAACTCCTTCATACACGGCCTGGCCCTGCCCACCTCCCCAGACACCTCCACCTCCAATTCCCCACTCCAGCCACGCCAGCCTTCTCAGCTCCTCACACTCTCCATGCTCCCGCCCGCCACGGAGCCTTTGCACGTGCTCTCCCCTCTGCCTGAAATGTTCTTCATTACGTCTTCCAACAGACCTCAGCTCCAGCACTGCTTCCTCAGAAAAGCCTTTTCTGACTCCCCTAAAAGTCAGTGCCCCTGACTCTTGGGACCTTCAAAGCCTTCTTCTGCCTGTGTTTTTAGTGCATAATGTAAGAGAGCAAGTCTCTGCCAACCTATTCAGATCCCTTTGGGAGACTGTGTATGGGAGCACCCCAGCTCCCCTTCTCTTCCCTCATCCACCCTCCCCTGCCTTCACTTACTGATGGGATGAGGGAGTAATGGAGGAAGAGCTCCATGTCCACCGAGCTGGCACAAGTGCCATTTAGCTGCCTGGTCCTGAAAAACAACCGAAACACACATTCACATCATCAGTCACTGCTGCAGGCATTGACCCTTCAGCCTTGAGCATCACTGTCAGGAATTTGGCTTGTAGCCCACTGAGATCATCTGATCTTTTTTTTTTTTTTCCAGTACGCAGGCCTCTCACTGTTGTGGCCTCTCCCGTTGCGGAGCACAGGCTCCGGACGCGCAGGCTCAGCGGCCATGGCTCACGGGCCTAGCCGCTCCACGGCATGTGGGATCTTCCCGGACCGGGGCATGAACCCGCGTCCCCTGCATCGGCAGGCGGACTCCCAACCACTGCACCACCAGGGAAGCCCCATCTGATCTTTTTTAACTTCCGTTTCTGAGTCAGTGCCACTCACCTGTGATGTGTCTTCACTAAGTGGATTATCTTCTTTCATATCTCTTTCTCCAGCTTAATTATCTATACAACTGCACTACTAACTGGATCTAACTCCTTCTTTTCTTTTCTTTTTTTTTTTAACTCCTTCTTTTCTTGATGACATAGTCATGGACAGATTCAGGTTCCTTGGCACCCAAAGCTTATATTATTTGGATGTTCTTTTCAAATAAAACTACAAAAATATCTTATCTTTTCATATTTTAAGGAAAACATATCACCATGTAAACACTTAACCAAGGTGCCTCCCACCCTCCTAGAGCCTTGGTAGGGTCCTGTGCAAGTGAGGGCCCCTGAGACTTAAGCTTCAGTAACTTCACAGGAAACCAGTCTTCGGACATGGTTTTTCGTAGCCAGAGGTCAAGAAGCATCTGCTCACTCTGATTTACTGCTGGGCTATTGGGGCAGGACAGTGGTCATCTGGACGACAGACTGTGGACTCTGTCCTCTCCAGACCTCAGAGTCTGCAGGACAAGGCTGCTGGGGTCTCATGTGTGAAACACATGACAGTAGTTTCCTGGTCTCTCTTTGAAAGGGACCTGCTTCCTTCTGGGCTCCCGCCACACTTCACTATCACTGCTCTGACTTGCACTGCACCACCTCAGCAAACGCTCACCCTCCAGATCCTTGCTCACTCTGTGCCTCACTCCTGCAGCATCCATCTGGCCATCCCTCGGGCTTCCTTCCCGGTCAGCTCCCACTTTTCCCAGAAGTCTCAGGGAAGAGCATTCCTCTGGGAATCCGTGAGCATGGCATACTTCCCTGAAAGTTTTTAAAGTTCCAGTACTCCACGGTGATGTCTAAACATAGGAATAAGACAACTTAGAAGTGGTGGGGGGAGATGAGGGTGACTCATGCTGTTGGAAATGTGATAGAACTATAAAATTTAGAATTCCGTTTTTAGGAAAGTAAACTGAGCACATACGTCAGTCTCCTTGTTCTACAAAAACCCTCAAAATAGCAGAAAGAATTTTTTTTAAGAAAGAAAAAAAATAGCCATATTTGAAAACAAGAAGGGAATCTATCAGGGACACAGAAACTACTAGAAGATGCTGAATGATGGAGAGCAGTTAGGACTAGATCGAAGAGAAAAAACATCAGCCAGCACGGCTACAGGCTGTGACCACAGAAAAGTGCTCTACACTCATATGCAAGAGGCTGATGCAGGCAGGGGTTGCCGACAGACCACAGAATGGTGAGTTGGGGTCTCACAGAGACCCAAGAGTCCTCCCACCCTGCTGACCGACCAGAGGCAATGGGGTTAACCTCTCTGGGAGTAGTATACATGGGTCACAGAGAGAAAGGCAGTGCTCCAGATCACAGGTGGCACCTGGGAAGGACCGGGTGCTTTGGATGTAGATCAGCTGCTGAGGTACCCCATCGAGCGGTACATCCTACCTCCATCCTGCAGCACTGAAAGCACGCCTTAGTACTAGCTGTGGCAGCAGCTGCCACCCACCCCCAAACAAATATCCCAGTGGAAGCTCCAGCACAAAGACAAGCACCCAACCCAGAAACATCACACATGAGGAAAGATTACACCACCAAAGGGAGCCAAAAATTCAACAGATAGAGGAGCCCTAAGGAAATGAAGTTAATACAGAACCTCTCTGAGATAAGGAGTAGAGGAAATTCTCTACAAGAAGAATGAACCTAGGAGGAAGTAGAAGGGTGCAAAAAGCCACAGAAAATAATTAGCAAAACTTCCCATTACTCCTGACTACAGGACTTTAAATATATACACATATATACATACATTTTTAGAAACACAAAGACTCAGAAAGACCTTCATTGAAAGAAATATTGGAGGAAATTCTCAAGTAAATCTAGGAGGAAGGGGAAGAATTTAAGAGGAATAACAAACAGAGAAATTAGGAAAATGTATTGTTAAATATCTAGGTAATTATTGTGAAATAAAATGTTTGAAATGCCAATTTGGAGTTGAAATACCAGATGATACCCCACATGGAAGAAGGGAGAGGTGGGTAGGAACAGGTGTAGATACAAAGGGAAGTGAAATGATGACCAAGTTCTTGTCATGTTTAGAAAGATGATGTAGAAACCTGCTTTCTCTTTCTGGGCTTTATAAGTAAAATATAATTCTAAGTAGGTATGCTAAAAATCCACAGTTAGCTACTAGAAGGATATAAACAGAAAGTAAATCAATGTATTAAGAAGTGTGTATGAAGGAATGAAAATTCAATCACTCCAGCAAACACAGGAAGAGAAAAAAATGAAATAAAGACTACAATTGAAACACCACAAGAACAAAACTGTCCAAAGAATATTAAGCCACCAACAAAGAAGAAATAAAAATATTCAATACATTTTTAGAATTTCAACTAGTAATAAAAGGAGAAATTAAGATGAAATGCTGTCTTATCTATTAAAGTGGGAATTATTAACAACACCACCCAGCAGGGGTCCCCAAGCCCCAAGCATGGACCGGTGCTGGTCCACAGCCTGTTACAAACCCAGGCCGCACAGCAGGTGAGCAGCGGGTGAGCGGGCAAAGCTTCATCTGCAGCTCCACATCGCTCCCCATCGCTCGCATTACCGCCTGAACCATCCCCCGCCTCCCCCCTCCCCCCCACCGCCTTCCCCCTGGCCCCCCAGCCCCCACCGCGCCCTCCCGCCCCCCACCCCGCCACCACCCCGCTTCCGTGGAAAAACTGTCTTCCATGAAACCGGTCCCTGGTGCCAAAAATGGCCAGCATTAGTGAAGGCTAAGACAAGTTGGTATTCATTTGCTGGTAATCAGAAGTGTAAGGAGGTATAACCATTCTGAGGATTAACTTTGCAATATACACCAAGAACCTTTAAATACAGCAATTCCACTTCTAGGAATTCTACTTCTAAAAAATATACACTATGGAAATAATCAGAGAGGTGCCTGAATTCAGGTACTAGAAAGCTAAGATTCTCACTCTTCCTGCCCCCCTCCCTCCCTCATATGTGTGTATAACATTTTAAATGTAATATATGTTCATCGTAAAACATTCAAAATACTTACAAACGTGTAAAGTAGTAACTAAAAGCCCTTTCTCCTTCCATAATTATGTGTGTTTATAACCTGTAGTTTCAAGCAAAAATGGAATTGGACTAAACTTGATTTCTTCATTTAATCAATAAAGGAAATGGAATTCTTTTAATAAAGAAAGGCAATTTCTAACATTAGGATATACAGACCCACAGAACTCGTTCATCAGGGTGACTCTGCCTACACCAATTCACTGCTGAGCCGGTCTTTTGCTTGGAGGGCAGAGCTGAGAGTTAGTCTGGTAGCAGCTAGAAACAGGTGAGCTCAGGGACAGTAGAGAGTGTAGCTATGCTTTCACTCCAGCAGTGAATAGATGAAAGCTATGCTTTCACTCCAGCAGTGAATAGATGAAGCAGGCACTGGAGTCAATCCAAGTTAGAAGGCCACTGAGAGCCCCTTCTTGGTCTCTGAGACTCATACTGCTTCCTAGTGGGTCCAGGGCTTGAGGGGCAGATCTGTTGAGGGGTAAACAGCTTTTGCAGGGCAGCAGCCAAACAGTACCCCCAAATGTAGGAAATCCGATTTCCACTGATGATAGCTTGGAACTGTGTTTATGATACACTGTTAAGTGAAAAAAAAAAAATTATAAAACAATATGATCCCAAGTTGTGAAGAGTGGTCACCTCTGGGTTGTAAGATTTGCATTCATTCTACTTTTTTTTAATGATTTTCTTGAATTTCCCAAGGGTAGTACACAGATGCATTGCTTGATAGCTGCTTAGAACAGTGCTTGACACAAAATAGACAGTAATAAACACATGTCGAATGAATGAATGGCTTGCTTTTGTAAACAGGGAAAAGACTGGACTTTATGCCAAAGCAATAAAACACCATCTGAAGGGAAGTTGCCCAGGAATCAGCATAAAGTGAAAACATGCAAGATTTGTTCTGTGATAGGGTATAAATTACAAATCTTTCATTATTTAAAAAATATGAAAATAAAAAGCTATGAGGGTGAAACAAGCAAGGACACACAGCTGGTGCATCTAGAGCAAGGGTCGTCTGCGTTCCCAACTCCTTTCCCCAACACCCCACGCTGATTGCCTGATGGCCTTGGTGGGGCGTCTCTGTGCTCCCGCAGCCCTGATTCCTTTGGTCCTAACATTATCACTCTATAGTCACAAGTTAGGGCTTCCCTGGTGGCGCAGTGGTTAAGAATTCACCTGCCAATGCAGGGGACACGGGTTTGAGCCCTGGTCTGGGAAGATCCCACATGCTGCGGAGCAACTAAGCCTGCGCTCCAGAGCCCGCGTGCCACAACTCCTGAAACCCAGGCTCCTAGAGCCCGTGCTTCGCAACAAAAGAAGCCACTGCAATGAAGAGTAGCCCCTGCTCACCGCAACCAGAGAAAGCCTGCGCACAGCAACGAAGACCCAACTCAGCCAAAAATAAATAAATAAAATAAATTATAGTCATAAGTTAAACATATGATAATAACTTTTATTAATGTCACTTTATTGTGTGTCACTATGTCCTAGGAATCCTGCTATTTTATATTACCTTATTTAATCTTTACAAGAATCTTGTGAGGTAGATTGTATTACCTCCTTTTCA